GGGGGGGGAGGAAAACAAAACAAAATCAAAATGAGGCCGGGTGTGGTAGTGCCTGTAATCATCAATTAGGAGGCTGAGGCGGAGGATCTTGAGTTTGAAAACAACCTGAGGTATGTATCTTGACCCTGCCTCAAAAAAGCAAAACAAGGGGCTGGAGAGAGGGCTCAGCTCTGGCTGCGCTTGCAGAGGACCGAGCTTTAGTTCCCAGTACCCACATGGTGGCTCACAACTGTCTGTAACTCTAGTCCCAGGGGATCTGATGCCTTACCCTGGCCTCTGTGGGCACCAGGCACACACGTAGAGTACCTAGAGTACCTATATACATGTAGGCAAAACACTCATACACATAAAATAAAATCTTTTTAGAAAGCAAAACAAAGCAAAGGAAAAGTTATATGAAAAAAGATATAAGTAGGTCAAAGTGAAAGAAAAATCTACCAAGAAGCTCTGCATGAAGTCTCTTTCACATTCTGTGGTAGCCTAGCATAACTATTCTTCTTAGCCATTTTCTGTGTGCTTACTCTAAAACATATCTTTAAATACTACTTTGTGAGATCCAGAACCTTTCTAAATTTTGTAATCCTAAGATTCTCATCCAATGTTATAAAATGGATGAGAACTTGAAGCGCTGGAGAGATGGCTCAGTGGGTAAAAGTGCTTGCCATATAAGCTTGAGTATTAGAAAGTCAATCCAGTGGAATCCCTAGAACCCACATAAAAATCTGGCAGGCAATGTGGCTCACTAGTCCCAGCACACTGGAGATAAACAGGAATCCCGGAGTAAGCTGGCTATCCAGACTAGCTGAAATGTGGAGCTCTAGTTCATTAAGGGATTCTGCCTCAATATATATGGTAGAGAGTGATGGAGGAAATGCTTATATCAATCTCTGCCCTCTATATGCATGAGCACATACAGAACATGTATACACACATACAACACACATATATGCAGAAAAGGGATTTGTTCAAGGTCATATAGAACTGATGTTATAGAGCTAGAGCTAAAACCTAACTCTATAACAGCAAACTGCTTCCCTCACCTATGTGGGACAAAACAACCAATAATCACATTTGTTGCTTCCAACTCCATACAACGTTGTAAAGACAGAGGAGTAACAATGGAAATAAAGAGCATTGAGTTCTTTGTTCCCTTTTCATTTTACTAGGAAGAAAAAAAACTTATCTTGAAAAAATGAAGGCTATATGACCACCTCTACCAGTATAATCTACCACCTATGAAAAGAATAAATGTGAAAATGTCTCAGGACTATTGCCAAACATGTTACAATAAATTCGAGATCATCACTCACAATTCAACAGAACAAAAAGATTCCCAAGAGTCACTTGGTTTTGTCATGAAATATTTTTATAAAATTCATGAAACAATTCCTTAGCACTAGAAATGACAGGATTTTATCTATATTACTATATTTAAGAATGCAACAATAGCCAGGTGTGGTGGTATGTGCCTTTAATCTCAGCACTCAGGAGCAAGAGACAGGAAGATTTCTGTGAGTACAGGGCCAGCCTGGTCTACATAGTGAGTTCCAGGATGGCCAGGGTTATATTGTAAGATCTGCCTCAAAAGAAAAACAAGAAAAGAAAGAAAAAGAAAGAAAAAAGGAAAGAAAAAAAATGTAATAATAAAACAAACAAACAAACAAAAACAGAGTCAGCCATGTACTGGAAAGAAGTGCTTTGCCAGTGGTTGGCGATGCCTAACACAGATCTAAAGATTTCAGGCTAAAGAGGAAGTGTTACTACAGAAATTAAGAGAAGAATCCAGAGCTGTCATTCTACAAAATAAAAGCAGAAAACTCTTAGTAATGAAGAACTACAGAACATATGGTTTTTGCTAGATGAACAATAGATACCACCTTTGATTGGAGAGGAAGCTATGATCAGTTATGAAAGTTTTCTGCAAGGTCATTGAAAAGGACCAAAGTTGAATATGGGACAACCTCCTGATCCTGGAATATTAAGCCTCACAGAGTTCTACAGAAAGGAAAACTCCTGCATGACGACCCAGGCCATGTCTGGATCAGACCACCCAGGCTCCAGCCCATGACTGTCTCAGTTATGGGAGATTAGAATCCTCACAACCACATTTGGCTTCTCCTTTTTCACTGTAGGATCCCACTGAAAACTTTTTCTAAAATTATTGCAGGATTTGGTTAAAATCTTCTAGTTATGTCCAGAAAACCTTGGAATCCTCAACAGAAGAATGAATCCAGCCACCAGAAGCTAAGACAACATTTAAGATAATACTTTTATGTTTCCTTTTTTTTAAAAAAAAATTGAGCTGCAGGGGCTGGAGAGATGGCTCAGCAGTTAAGAGCACTGACTGCTCTTCCAGAGGACCCAGGGTTCGATTTCCAGCACCCACATGGCAGGTGCAAACCGTCCTTAACTCCAGTTCCAGGGGAATCCGAAGCCCTCTTCTGACCTCTGACCTCCGCGGCATTGCACGACATGGGTGCATTCACTTACATGCAGGCAATACACTCATACACATAAAGTAAAAATAACAAATAGCTGGGCCCCAGCACTTGGGAGGCAGAGGCAGAGGCAGGCAGATCTTTGTGAGTTCACGGCCAGCCTGGTCTACATAGTGAGTTCCAGGACAGCTGGGGCTACAGGGAGACCCTATCTCAAAAAATACAAAAAAAAAACAAAAAAAAAAAAAACAAAAAAAAACCCAACAAACAAACAACAAAAACAAAATAATAAAATATTTTAAAAATTGAGCTGCAAACTAGCACCTTTCAGGTCCTACTCAATTGATCTGAATGATCTTTTCCTCCTCATGTCTATTTGTATTTCAGAAAATCTTTTTTTTTTTTTTTTTTTTTTTTTTGAAAAGGGGTCCCCCTGTAGCCCAAGCTGACCTGAACTCACTATGTAGACCAGGCTGGTCTTGAACTCACAAAGATCCACCTGCCTCTGCCTCCCAAGTGCCGGGACTAAAGGTATGTGCCACCACTCCCAGCCTCAGAAAAATTTTCTACAAAATCTTACTTGTGCCTTTCCACTACCACCTTATTATTTGAAATATTTTGTCTATTACATAAAAAAAAGAAAATAAGGCCGGGCTTGGTGACACACGCCTTTAATCCCAGCACTCGGGAGGCAGAGGCAGGCGGATCTCTGTGAGTTCAAGGCCAGCTGGGGCTACAGGGAGACCCTGTCTCAAAAAGACCACCCCCCCAAAAAAAAGGAAAAAAAACACACAGAAAGCCTACAAGAAGAAATTTAATATAAGATTTAAATGCCCAAATGAATTTTCTTAGGAACAAAGGCAGGAGCCATGAAATCATATAGCACTTTTCCTTTAGACCCAGAAAGGTATGAATAAGATGACAAGCATAAAAGGCCAGTGTCAATATAGAATGTGGTCAAACAAGCCCTTCGGATATAAGATCACTGGATTCTAGAGGAAAGAACATTTAAAATCTGGAGACTGAGGAGCTGGCTGAGTGGACAAAGTACTTGTTACACAAGCATAAGGATCTGAATTTGGATTCCTAGCACTAACACAAAAATCCAGGTGTGGCAGCACATGCCAGTAACTCTAATAACTAGGTAGAGTGGAGAAAGGCAGATCCTTGGGACTCACAGGCTAGTTAGACTAGCTGAAATGCCAAGATGTATGTTCACTAAGAGACAATGTCTCAAAAACAAAAAACAATAAAGGTGGAGAGCAACAGAAGAAAACACCAGCATTGACCTCTGGTTTCCGCATAGGCAGAGGCACATAATGCGACAACACATATACCATGAATATACCACAAACATACACACACGCATACATACAATTTGTTGGGTTGGGGTAGGGTGGTGGGAGTATGTACTTAGTATAAAGAAGTCTTGGGTTCAAACCCACAGCACTCCAAAACAACCATTCATTCATTCCTCACATGTATCAGACACTGAAAAACAACTTAAAGAAGAATGATTGTTGCTTACTAGGAAGTTATGATGGAAAAGTTCAACTGTCTACCAACTGAGCCCTACTCCCATGGCTTTTGAGTGAATGAGTGAATGCACAGTATAAAATACAACCCTGAAAGGCTGCTGAACTTTTTAGGCACTCATCTACATACAAAGAAGAAAACAAACTAGTTGTTCTCTGTTATATCTTCCATTTTGAGGATTCTAGGATTACACAGACAAATATGTAAAAGGATACATAGCCATAGGTCCTTACTAACTTGCAGGGACTAGAGAAATCATACAAATTTAGAAGAGTGACTAGAATTGTGGAATGTGCAGAGGTAA